TTCCCACATATAATAGATTCCGAAGATGTCTGAAATGTTTTGGTACCAGAGTTAGTACATGAGACTCGCGAATGACCGCTTCAAGCGCGAGCGAACTCAGACGAGAGAGTCGAAACACGTGACCACGCTTGTATTCTGTGAATTGTACAAGTGCGCGTTTTTGTAGTTTTTCGTATTCAAACAAAAAACGATTATGCAATTGATGGAGTACGTAGTGGTATAATGGAAGTAAAATAAAGGTACAAAACGCCACAGACTACAGAATTTTGCCGTAGACGCAGACGGTGCCATCGTGTATAGCATTCCGGAAACAAACCACACAGTTCATTTGAAAGCCGAATTAAGCCGCATTCGAAAGGCTGGCCCACGGATAAACAAGGCCGATGTACAACTCGCTCGAATTTCGGTGACACTTTTCGGAGAGGTAAACGCACTGCCTGAAAAACTGACAAGGTTTCTGTACGGTATAATCCCAAATTCGAAGCGGTCCCAGGTCAGTTTCTCAGACAAGCAACATGCCCCAGCCAGGTAGCGTAGATGGTGGTCTTTGGCTTGTTCGCTGAGCTGGGCAATTTGATTGCAAACGCTTCATCGCCAAACGCACTGATGATATCATCTCGATTGATGATTGCAATCAAATTGCCCAGATCAACAAACAAGCCAACGACCACCGCGCCACAGCCGGTGTGTCACGAATTTTAAAGCGGTTGCTGCTTTGCCATAGGAAGTGCTCCATCAAAATCGCAGTTTCGAATGAACAAAAGAGGCACATGAGCCTTTCGAACATGTCAAAGCGCGAATGGTGGATCAGCATCTGACCCTCCAACTGCCCAGGGTTGGAATGGATCGGGACCACCATAGATCCTCGCAAAAAGCTCACGAGCTGGGCACCGGGCACCAAGGATAGGACTTCACGACACGGCACGCGTCAGGGAGGGGAACAACCTGGCTGACCGTCTGCCGAAACACGAGGCCGGAGATGAAGCTCATGGTCAGTCCTTATAGCCTCGTCGTCAAACTGGATCCCGGAAGGTTAGTGTAACTACAGCGGCAGGATCTTGTATTAAATAAGGTTGCGGCTTCTTTGGAGGATGGAAGAAGTACTGAGAATGGGGAGAGCAACGAAGAATTGGAATCAATTCTAGGGTTACTACGATGGGCTGAGACTGAGCAAAGTAGTGCGTGTGACTCCACAGACTCCGTTATTTTGCTACCCTTGATACCTTGCGTCTCGAGATGGAATCCGATCGTCCAAAACCACTAGGTGGTACACAGGGCGCACCATGATATAAGATCTACCTTGGTAAAAGGCCTGCTGACCAGGGATGACAAATGGATAACCCGTAAGCAGTGCCAACGACAAGAACCGAGTTCCGCATGAGGAATTGGCGAGTTATGGACCGCAGACACCATGGGTCTCATTACGGTGACGATCACCCGAAACTAATTTATTGTTGCAATGACATACCTGCTGGAGTGGATACAGGCGGCAGCTGTGTCAAGTCGATGAGCGAAGGTAATCAGTGGAGCTGTAGTGCACAGCTTAGGGGCCAACAACGAGGGCGAAGTGATCCTGGTGTACCAAGGGCCTTTCTTTGAGAGCGAAGAGTTGAGAGTTGCTTGCAGAAGCTGGAGACCACGTAGCCGACGACGGCACCATACCGCCCGCAGATAAACGGCCAACAGAACGCAATAACCCAATAAACAAGGAATGGATGGTGGCTATATAGGCGACTGAGAAGTGGGCTTGCCTACAATGTTGTGAGCACATTGTGCATCGATGCAACTAGCAGTTATTCGTTCATGCTAATATACGATCGATATTCGTGCCTACCAGTTGATCAGGAAATAGGGTTGTGGCCCACAACACCCTTGTCACTGGAGAAGCTAAAGGAGGAAAAGGGGAGAAACTCGGGAAAAATTGCCCGTCTCTTCACCGATCAGGCAAAATCGGCATGTAGAAAGGCGCCGCCGTTCTCGATGGGTGCGAAAGTCAAGCGGGAGGATCATCAGAATCATGGAAGAAGTGGACTGGACAGACAGCCCGGCAGTCAGTGGCAAGGCTCGCTCATCCCCACCGACCATCGGAAAAACGCCTATGCCATTCAGGAAGATCGAAGATTAGCTATGAAATTGGCATGATACACCGAAAGGGCTGCCGAACATACCAGCTACCGGGGCCGACCGACGGAGGGGGAATCGATATTCGTGCCTACCAGTTGATCAGGAAATAGGGTTGTGGCCCACAACACCCTTGTCACTGGAGAAGCTAAAGGAGGAAAAGGGGAGAAACTCGGGAAAAATTGCCCGTCTCTTCACCGATCAGGCAAAATCGGCATGTAGAAAGGCGCCGCCGTTCTCGATGGGTGCGAAAGTCAAGCGGGAGGATCATCAGAATCATGGAAGAAGTGGACTGGACAGACAGCCCGGCAGTCAGTGGCAAGGCTCGCTCATCCCCACCGACCATCGGAAAAACGCCTATGCCATTCAGGAAGATCGAAGATTAGCTATGAAATTGGCATGATACACCGAAAGGGCTGCCGAACATACCAGCTACCGGGGCCGACCGAACGGAGGCGGATGGAAATTGGTCTTAGGCATACGATCTTTAGAGAGGAAACACGTGTAACGGCATATACGACTGATCGGGTAGGCGGGTAGTGGGTGGTCGTCTTGGATCTCTATCACGTTTCTAATGAAAATTAAATTCCATCAGGGAACTTGTGGAACGGTTTCCCAGAGTTCGTTTATAGTTGTTTAATGGTAAATTGGTATCCATAAAAGTTGCAGGAGACGTTCGAGAATGTTCAGTTTTTAAAAACTCTGTGCATATGAGACGTTCAATTTCTCATCCGAGGTATTTTGTCTGCTTAGTTGTTGTTTGGTAATGGACGAGTTCAGTGCGGGTGCTTTTCCTCCTTTCAGTAGTAGCAGTGGCGTCGGAGGCCCCGGTGGTATGCTCCGCACCACATTTTGTCCATCTGTAACAAAACAAGCACCGGATTTTCCCTTTTAAGGAAGCGGTAGAAGGGACAGCCACGAGCAATTATTCTAAAAATGAAGAACCGCCAGCCTCCGGCTCCACGCCGTCAAAGCAGAGATCAAGTATAACGCCGTTACACCTCAGGCTAGGAATCAGAATACTCAAATATTCTGCATACGTGCTGTTCGCAGCTAAGGTGAGATGAGGCGCCTACGTATTCGACCGTGGTCAAATAAGCCACACCAACCTCATCCATTCATAGGAATGCTTGTGAACTTCAGGGTGAAACCGCCACAAAGCTAGAGCCCCTTTGTGTAGTAATGATGAGAGTAGGGAGGTTACTAATTTGTTCCTTCAAAAATTGTTTGATTTTCCTAGTTCATCTTCATCCCGAAGATGGCTCGTGTTATTTGTTCCAAAAACAAAAGTCAGGTGACAAAAGCAAGTCCCGCCTTCAAACTTGATCAACAACTTGCGTACCACAATTTCTCATCCATCTTTACAATGCTACAACCTGCATAGCATCTCACGATTATGAGCGTCACCCTTATTAGGTCAAGTTGCTTTTAAGTTTGTGGGAATGGTAAGTAGGGATGACTACCTCTTGCACACACCTAGTAAGCCTACATTTGTGCCCGGCATACACACACGCGTGCAGGGTAGGAAGACAGCCTAACTCAACAAGTCCATGGACAACAACGGGACACACTGAACTTTAGAGCACTAATACGCCCAGGTAATCGGTCAGAGCCCAGCGGAGGTAGTTTGGCAGCCCAATCGCGTTAGGTGGCCAAAGGAAAAAAACGAATGTTTGTCCCACAATTACTCTAATGATGGCAAACCGAAGATTAGAAATGTGGTGCTCCACGCGCTGCAGGCAGCCAATGGTACATTCGTTTACCGATGGATGAACTGACCCCCGAAAAAATTCAGTGAAAACCGGACTCCAGGGAACATGTAAGTGCGCCTCGCAGGAAGAAGCAGCGTCGGAACCAGCAAGCAAGAAGTGAGCGGGTGCATTTCTGAAGCCCCTTCAAGCACCGAATTCCATGCCAGCGCAGGATTATTAAATTTACCCACATCTTTGGTAGACTAAAACGTGCTACTCGTCTTTGAATGTATCATGGATAGCGTCAAGGTGTCTGTTCCAGTTTGATCTTCAACAATCGGTCTTCTTTAAATGACCGATTTAGGTGACCTGGGTCGCACCTGATATCTTCGATGGCAAGGTCCAAGTGGACGGCTTTTTGAGTACCCGGGTTGCTCCGATGTACAGAAGGGCATCTGGCCCTGTTTTATTGCAAACCACAAAACTGCCTATACCAAATGTCAAATCCGTTGAGTGCGAAACATATCTGGATTTCCCTGACCATTTCTTCCGAGACTGCCCTCACCTTCAAGGGAATCGATGTCTGCTTGTGCCCCGTTCGTGAAACAGTTGTCGGATAGGTTTTTCTGAATTGATTCAACAAGGAAACAGTAACGAAAATCTAAAAATTGAAGTTGCATTTTTATGAGACCAATACTTCTGATTTCGGATAGCTGGAGCATGCAACGGCCGACCCCCAACTCTTGTCCGCGCTGGAGTTCAAATCAGTTTTATATTTCGTCATTCCTCAACCAGGCGACCTACCGCCCACAGCTTGGACCTGAAGACCNATGCGCTCTTTTCTCTTGTAACCCTCAGATGTGTGGAAGCCACTGAATGAAAATTACAAACCCGATCCGGGGGTCTTGGACAAAAGCCATGAGGTTGTGTATTATCCGTGAGACATGAAGACCAAGAACAAGGCAGCAGTTCATATAATGTGATTCCCAGGAGCACATGTGAATTCCTTTGGTGCTATCTAAAATACACATAAGCAAAGGTCGTTGGCGAACCTTAGACGTAGACGAGCTATCGAGACACAGCATTGTTATGGGTAGCGAAAAGCGCGAAATTAAACTGAACATAAAATAAATAAACCCGCTATTTACCATAACAAGCGTCACGTTCGATGTTCCCCATGTTTATTTCTTTCCTGTCCGACCCTGACCTGTTCTGTCGTGATCTGTCCTGTCTTATTCCGTTACGCCTTGTCATCTCCTGTCCTATTTTTCTGCTCCACATTTTCCGTCGTATCTTTCCACGTGCTGTCCTTTCCTGTCACCTGTTGTGCCACTCGATTCTGATATGCTCTTTCTTGTTCCGTTCCGTTTATTTCTATGCAGTTCTATTCTATCTTGTCCTGCCCTAAATTGTCCGATCCTGCCTTCCCGTCCGTGAACTTGCTCTAGCGGGTTTTCAAATTAGGCGCGGCTTACGATTTTTTCGGTGGTCAGGCTTGGAGGCTCTCTAGCGCCATATACAGACCCGGTTTTACAGTTTAACGTGTGCGTCTTCCGTCGTACTTCTACTGGAACGGTATTCATAGTCTTCATTGCGTTGTATCAATTTGTGCAATTTTACCGCTCAATTCCGGGTAACAAACACGACGTTCTCACATGTCGGCCATTTGCTTGCGTACTTACTATCATCGGGCGCCCATTGTGAAACCTAGTGTTGGTCACAATCCAGCCATTTGAATGCGAGCCTTAAGTGTGGAATATGCTAACGGCACTCGATAGTCGAGGCACTATGTTTCACCCTTTGATGCCAGCGCCTCTGTGATGCCGGATAAAGAAACCGAATCGGTGAAGCCGATTTCGGCGAAGCTGGACCGTGATACAGTAACATCTGACATGAAGACTAGAACTCCGAAGAAGGCCGTTTTTACGCGAGGTAGCAGATCTGAACATCAACGGTCGCTGAATGCCGTCTTTTGCGGATGCATTGCCCCACGGGGTGACTATACGACCTCCAGGGAATGTCCGCACCCAGGTCCGAATACACAGTTGTTACCCTCCAGTGCCGTGCAGTCAATGAAAAGGTTGAGCCTGTCAGACCAAGGGGACGCAGATTCTAGCCATTCGGTGACCGGATCCACTATCAAGCTTTCCCAAGCCACGCGGCAAAACGCTCGGCTTCCTTCATCCGTCCTTTTTCCTAATTCGTTGCTACTACCTCCTAAAGATCAGCTTTGTACCAGCGAGACGCAGCAGTTTAAGCCTAATAATAAAGTAGACAGGAGATGGCGCAAATTCAGACTGCGCAGGAAGGGACTTACTTCCACGGTTGTGCGCTGTGAGAAACCCTGCGAAAGCAACACGGCGAAGGTCCTTATCACAACGACAGAAAATGTACCAGAAGACAACGGAGTAGACATTCCTAAAATAGACGAAGCCCTTGTGTTTTCTCCACTTCCAAGTCAGAAGGCCCCCGAAATGACTAACGTCCAACATGTAAGTATTATTTGGCTAACTGTCGCTACAAATTAAATTTCACGTCTAGTTTAATGTAGTCTTGAAGGCTGTTACAATTAAAAATGTTGTCAACTATCGCCACCAGTTCTTTTGGACGGCGAATAAATTGCTATTCTCCCACCCAAGGTCGACAGTGGCTAGAATTAAATCAATCAATCGTATCTACGTGTATTTTCGGTAGATTATGTGATTAAATGGCATGGATAGGAGATACTAACCTCTTCTCGATAGCTATAGTATTACTTGCCGTGTGAATCAGTCCGTCTTTGTCCCGAAGAAAACGTTTTGCTATTTTTACTCACCGTAGCATGCTGAGTTCCATTTAATAATCACATTCCAAATGACCTGGTGCCTTCTTCGTTCGATAGACCTTCTCCGTGCTGTCTAGGACAATTACGGATGGATGGTGAAATCTGAGCGGAAAATCTTTTATAATGTACATTGAGTCAAACACTAGATGGAAGAAGTCGATGCTCCCTTTTGGCCAATAAATGTACGGCGTCCCATCCACTAGTATCAGCGGCCTAACTGAGGTTAATTCATCGCTTGTTCGAGCACACTCTTCGTGAAGAAGGAACTTTTATACGACATACTTGTAGAGTCCCGTGATGATATCTGTCAGTTAAACCGCTCATTCTCAGAAGCCAGAGATGAGTGCTGTTGGTTCAACCTGAACAAGCCTTGGGTTCACATGTCTGAACGGCTGCAGCCGTCGAACCGGTCCTAACACCCAAGAGGAACTGTGTGAATGTTTTTATACTGTACAATTTATACAATTTATCGAAAAAGATCCTTGTGACTGGTGACCAGACTAGAATGTACGATACACAACGCCACCAGAACAGGACGTAGTTTCGCAGTCCGATAATGAGAGTGAAAATGAGCGAATCTAGGCAAAGAGTTGTTTGAGATCATCAATTCATATTATGGGGATCTAAAGCGATTTGGTGAGGAAAACCAATGAAGTGACTGCGTGCATTGCAAAGTCGTGATGATAGCCATGTGCACTGAATACGTTTACTTCAAACACAGGTTTAATACCTGCAGTATTTTTTCACAGGAGTATTACGGTCACATACGATTTCTTAACGGATTGCATGTAAGAAACGTCTCACACAGCAGTTTTTCCTCTCCTAACAAATAGACCCAATGCCTGCTAGTACAGTCTGTTTGGGTTTCCCGGCTTGCATGATAAACTAGGCCATCGTGTGCCACAGACTACTGCGATTCCTTTGAGCCACAACGTTCTTGTGGATGAGCTGCCTAGTGTCGACACAGACAACAACCTTCGGTATCGACCTTTTTTTGCTTCATCTGAAACTTTGGCAAGTAATTCCCTGACCAGTTTTCAAAGGTTCATTTGCCAAGTGCGCTTACCTCCTGGCTTTTACCTAGCGTTATTGTAAGCTAGCTTCACTAATTTCGGGGTTTCTCTGAGGTGTTAAGAGTTCTTGAGGTGGATGTTGATAATTGTGTCAGTTCTGTATGTAATGGGCCTGGAGGCCCTTAATGAAAGGGATTCAGGTGCCAACCTATTTTCACACACAACAGTTCGTCCCTACGTGGTCTCTACCACCTGTTATAATCCTTTCCGGATTTGCTTTCATTTCCGCCGACTATTTTCAACAGACTGCACAATAATCGCAATTCAGAAGTCCACGACAGGTTCCAGTAGCCTGGGTGCGTGATTTTAACCGACTAGACATCCTAGCCCTCTTAGGCAGCACCGTCTCTTTCACACAGTGTAGGGTCTGTTGCGAAATCTCCACTTACGGAAAAAAGGCAGTGCACAACGGGTCCCGTTTGATCGTACAGCTAATTACTCGGTATAACTGGACGCGCGCGACACTGCCCAATTTGGTACTATTCTTCCCCTGGAAACTCTTGAGAATCTGCCTCCTTGTCTTCAAATGTGCTTTCGATTCTGTCGGTCAGTCAGTGCTGGCAACTACATTCACGCAACATGGTATGCCCCAGAAGTTTGTGAACATAATCCGATTCCTATATTCACATAATTCTGGGCGTATGAGAGTGTATGGTCTGCTCTCCAAATCTTTCCTACAGAAAGAGGTGTCAGACAAGAATGTCTACCCTCTTCATTCTTCTTCAACTTCATCATGGTTAAAACAATGAGGCGAACCCTGGCAGGTCTTCAAAACCCCGGTGTTCAAATTTTTGCTGGTGAGAGCCTTATCGATGTGGAGTACGCAGACGACATTGCCCTCAGCTTTGAAGACCAAAGCGAACCACAAGCCCTGGTGAATAGACTGACTACCCATCATACCATCTTTTGGCATGCGCCTTGCACCTTCAGAATGCAGTCATGCTTCAGAACATGCAGTCTCCGAACATATCCCTTACAATTCAAGGAAAATCACTGGAGATTGCGGAAAATTTTTACATAACTCGGTAGTTGTATTGGCTGTGGCGGAAATGTGTCTGATGAAGCCAGTGCAAGAATCTCAAAGACTTGAGTCACGTTTACTAATCTGCGTCACATGTGGCGTCAAAAAGGCACCTTGCTAGATCTCAAGGGTCGTGTGTATCAGGCTACAGTATGGGCTGTATTGTTGTATGGGTGCGAGGCATGGCCTTTGCGGACAGATGATATGAAGTGTCTTCAGTTTTTCGACCACCGATGCCTAAGAAGCGTGACTGGTTTCGGATGACAGCATGTTAGTAACGTGGTGATTAGAAAACGGGTATTTGGTTATGCGGCAGGTACTTCAGTCAGGCAAGACAGCCAACATCACCGAATACGGTGGCTCACTCATGTGCTACGCATGCCGAAACACCGTCTACTGACGAGTGTTGTTCTCCGTGCCTCCTTCACGATGGCGCAAACCGCGAGGTGGACAGCACATGACTTGGCAGAAAGGGATGAAAGAGATCATGAAGAGTTTGGGTGTTGTTGGTGTTGTACGTCTTTCAGGATGGGGGCCTCGTGACCCCACCTGTGCTTGGCTGCAAGAAATGGTGGCTGATCGATATCAGTAGCGTTCGTGCTGTCAGTTTCTTTCCAGATTGTTTGATTGAGAGGTTGGAGGTGTAGGTACCTCGGAATGATTGATATAGATCAGCACCAGGTCCACTCCCTCACCCACTCTTATATTTTTCTCACTCTGGGGCATTAAGTGTAATTAGACAAACCTTATGACTGTACGGCAGTGAAGCATCAGTACCAACACCGGTGTTACTGTCTTTGATGAAGATGATGATTTAAGAACATCCGTCATCATTCTGGTAACCACATCCATCGAGCTGTGCAGGTTTATCCACCATCCAGAGTGCCAGATCCACGACAATCAAGCAGGGTTTCACTTTGGATGAAGTTTTATCTAGCACATGTTCACCTCACGTCACATATTTGAAGTGCACCATTCCTACTAGCGAGTCTCTGAGAAATTGAGACGTTTAGAAAGTGTCCGTGAACGAGTTAGAACAGAGTCCAGGTTTTCGAGGATAAGCAACGTTTTACTTGTCTAAGAACAAGCGCACATGAGCTGAAATGTACATACAAAAGTTCAGTACGAGTATATATGGTAAGTATAAGAATAAGCACACAAAAATCATGACA